ATATATATATATATATATATATATATATATATATATATATATATATATATATATATATATATACTTAACAAACATCCTGAAATACACTTTACCTCAACCAGCAGTAAAATCAACATCTTGGTTTATTTGCTGAAGAATTTCCATAGATGTAATAACCCAATGTGGCCTCAGGTGGCAGTATTGCTTTCACCATCAGTTCTCAAAGGCGTAATTGTGCACCGGCATGTTAAATTTCACAGCCCTTTTCAACATGCAGCTCTTAGCTCTAACTTGGCAATTCCTAATGCATACTTTTCTTTTAACTTGAGTTTTCTATCAGCTCACTGATTTCAAAATAATTTTACTGTTCTGAAAGTTCTAAGTCTGCTTAACTTCTGGTTCAAATAAGAATCTTGCAGGGCGATGTGCTTCTGTTGTCTTCAGGCGCCATATCACAAAATTTTGCAGAATTCATAGTTGAATTATTCTCAGCAAACTGTCCTGCAAAATGATTTAATATATATGGTGTCGCTTTGTCAGCGTGCCAAGGAGCCAGAAAAACACATGCATTTAAATATCAAACGGCTCCAAGCTGAACTCGACTGAAGATTGACAGCGACCCAAGAGGAATAACTCATAATGTTTACCAGCACAAAATGAAATATCTAGAGAGCAGAAGCTGCCAGCATTTGGCAGTTTTCAAATAGCAATAAGTCTGTGTATGACTGCTTGGCTCTTTTTCGCTTCAGTTAAATCTGAGAAGCACAACAGTAATGAGAAGAAAAGATTTTCAACACAAAGCTCCACTTTGTTTCTTGTTGCCATGTTTTTGTATTAAAACCAGGCCAGCGAGTCACAATCATTAAGATTTTCTTCCATACTTCATTCTTCTGACGTTAACAAATCCATCCTGGCTGCATTTATCATAGTTTTTGTTAGTTTAAAGCATCATTTATTAGCTCTCGTAACTTTTGGGGTACATTTCCTTTTTCCTTCAGTGTAATTCAAAAGAAAAAAAATTAAATAGGTTGTTGTTGGCTTGACTTTCTTTTTATCTACACTGTAAATGTATGCAAACCCATGATCTTTTCACTTTTGTCATTTTACAACCACTGACTTACGTTCTTTATCAGAAAACAAAGTAGGGCAGAATTGTGAAGGGGAAGAAAAAAAATATGCTGTTTGCAAAAATATTTACAAATTAAAATCTAAAATTGTGACTTTCATTTGTACTAATTACCTTTTACTCTGACGTATTAGCAAATTAAGTGTACTATTATTGTGATTTAGTCTCAGAATAGCTAGAGTTGTTCTGTAAAGGCACCATCTTTTTTGTTAGAAAGCATTGTTGAAGAAAAAGACCAGAGAACACACCAGATAGACCACAACTAATCTTGTGAAAAGGTTTGGCAAAAAATGGAGCATGTTTTTTTTTATGTCCAGCCTCCCTGAATAAAAATATTATAGAACCACATTTTGCCGCAAGACGATAAAAACCATAAATTTTGGTCTGATCAGACCAGAGCACCTTCTTCTAAAAGCTACCAGAGTTGGACATCTAGGCTGGACTTAAACAGACCTATTAATATTTTAAAACATGATACTTCATAACAGCAGTCAGGTAGTGTTCATTTATCACACTTGTGAAGCAAAAACACGCCCATATTTTTGGATATGACCGGTCCTCATCTGAGCGCAGATGTAAGCATATTTTAAGTCTCGTCTGCCTGAATTTCTCTTCAGACCCGTCACTTAATATTCAAATATAAACTTGTCCAAATCGAGTGCTATTACCATCAACACATGGATCTTATGCAACCGTCTGTCTTTCTGGCCTACCTTGTGAAGGCACACAAAAATAGAAGAAAGACTAATTCAGAATCAGACCTTATTTTCACCTGAGTCTAAAAATAATGCCGGCAATCTCAGATTGACAACAGAGAGAGCAGTCACAGAAGAGGCGGCGTTTGTGTGTGTGTGTGAGTGTGTGTGTGTGTGTGTGTGTGTGTGTGTGTGTGTGTGTGTGTGTGGACTGTGTGAAAGCAGGCTCAGATTGGAAGTGTGTGCGGCTCAGAGCTGTGCTGAGCAGAGCTAACTGTGAAAATGGGGCCTTGTCAAAAATAGTCTGCTTTATGACAGGAAGGAAAAGGGGTTGAGAGATGGAGGAGAGAGAAAATGAAGAGAGTGCTGAAGGAGAGAGAGCAGAAGGAAGACAGCAGGCTTCAGTCTGCCGGGATTGACAAGTTGAGGAATGTCCTAAAATAACCTGCATTGTTTTCCAACCCAGATAACTCAAATTATTCTTCAAATAGTACTTTCCTTGTTCGCTGCCTGTAGTTGCCAAGTTTTTTTTTTTTTTTTTTTTTTTGTAGGATTGGAGCCAAAACAACTTTGTGTGCTAATTGGCCCTCCAGCACAAGAGGACAGAAAAAAAAAATCGTCTCGTACTGGTGGAGCTAAAAACAGCATCAAGTGGTTCATTGTAGGCTCTTATATGGGAGAGGAGTCAGGGAGTCCAGGTACTGCTGTATGTGCCCAGGATTCTGTTATCATTACATTAAATTTCATTCTCATAGTTTTTAAAAGAGGCCACATCCTTGTCTGAAGGATGGTTACATTTTCTGATCAGGTGTTTTATCTGCTGGTAGTTATAACCTTTATGTGTAACATTAATCATAAGATAAGCAGGGTTTTGTACACAGTTTTTAGAAGTCTAGAAGTGTGTTACAGTTCTTGACAGATAGAGAAAAGATAAAACAATGAGATATATTTTTTATATATTCCCTTTACTTTGTAAAAACCTTCATCTATTTGTGCATCTATTCATCCATTCGCCTGTGCATTTATTCATTCATCCATCCATTCTTTCACCTTTCCTTTCATTTTGTCCCTCCATCCTTCCAACCTTCCTACCTATGGAAAAGCATTACACTTTGACAGAAAAAAAACTGTAACTCAACCTAAAGCCAGCTAAACAGCATGTTCTCCCACTATCTGTACTATAAAGCTATGCATGCTTCATAGATGCTTAACTTAATGAAAAGGAGCTTCATGTGTGAGATCAGTTATATGGAAGAGAGCAAGGTGAAAGGTAAACAAAGTTCTGGAAAGTAGAATAAGTTCAGCTGCTCAAAACAAGTCTAACGTTGGTGTGACGCAGCTGCGGAACAAAATATATCCATCACATGATAAAAATAAAGCATACTACCCTGTTCATCCAGAATTTTAATGAGTGAAATAATCCTGGACAGCTTGGTCGCAGATGGTACAGCCACCGCAGTCCGTGCCTTTAGACTGACAAGTACCCCGTTCCACACCGGCTTTAAATCCCATCAGAACACATTGTTCTCCTCGACATGTCCCTCTCTGCCCATCCACTAATTATAGAAAGCATCTAAAGCACCAAAAAAACAGCTTTGAACAGGAGCGGTATGGATAAAACAAAGGAAAGCACGACGCAAGCCTGAACTCCTCATCCAGGGATGAAACAACCCAAAGATAAAATGGTCCAGATAGGGAGGATAACTGTTCAAATGATGAGAAGCGATTGGACACAGGTTAGAGAAATTGAGGATCTTGCAAAACATGCAGAAAGCTGGAATACGTAGAGACTAATATAAAGTCTCAGACCTAAAGCGCACAGGTCACTCACAGGTCAACATGCTGCAAACCAGACCTGCTGGTAAACCAGAATCTGTTGACCCAACAAAGTCACCTGAAGCTCAAAGGAGAGACTTTACAGGCTATATTGCTAACAGACAAACAGAGATAAATATATATATATATATATATATATATATATATATATATATATATATATATATATATATATATATATATAAAAAAAAGACAAACACAAGATGGTACTCAAAGCAATAATCTGCAAGTCATCATCTGGAAATTTTATCTAGTAACAAATCAGCTCATAAGAAACAAAACTCACCTCACTGTAACTGCAATCTACAGTTTGCTACTTCTTAGCCTGGTGAGATAAGTGCGTTGTATGCTTACTCATTCATCCTAATCTTTAGATGAACTACTGTACATTATATACCATTATATGTAATAAAATAATACATTTGGTTCTTTAGCTCTGGGTAACTAACTACAGTGCAAGTGTTTCTATCAGTTGTTTTCTTTTTATCCACTATATTTTGTGACCCAATGACTATTATAGTAACCAGGCAAAGAAACAATTTGTGAAACATGCAGATGATATAGTTGTTTTAAACTTTTTTTGGCACAGGAATTTTGAAAGTACAACACTCCCTGCAGTATCAGTGGAAAAGGATAGCATGCTGAGGTAGTTCTTGATAATCCTCTGTCGTTGCTACAACAAAAAGGTCTGCCGTCGTAATACATCACCTTAGTTTGGACAGATCTTCCAGCTCTGTGCCTGGTTTTGCAGGAAGCGGTGGTCCGCTTAAGATAAGACGTGAGAAATTCGACTAACTTGTTCAGACAGCAGAAACAGCTTGACCAGAACAAACACTGTCGGTTTAACTGAGCTGTTTGTGTTTCCTATAGATCTGCTCTCAGCTCAGCGAACGACTGGAGAAACAACAGACGGCCACTCGAGGAGAACTGGAGAAAATCAGAGTGAGTTATAAAAAAATATGAAAAAAATGCTTGGTCAATCCTCTTCTTCATTAAGAGTTTTTCTTAAATATACATAAGTGGTCTTAAGCAGCTGCTCTTAAGACCACTGTTGGACTTTGACGCCGTTTTCTTTTACTGATATTCAGTGTGGTTTTTCTACCAGGCCTTTTCCAACATAATTCTGATTAGTGAGTCTTTCAAGGGTAAACCTCTGTTGAGTCTAAATGTAACAACATATCCACTAAAGAAAGTATTAAGGTCAGGCGTCCAACACTGTTCAGAAAATTGTGGAATTAGGTTGTTTTTCTTGTTTTGTTTTGTTTGTTTTTTTTCCAAAAAGTATGAAAAGTATTTGTATTTCCATATTGTATCTCCTACCCTATTGTCTTGGATTGGATCTTTCTTTCTCTCCTTCCTTTTGTTCTTCATCCCCCCCTCTTTTATGTCTTTCCATTTTAGTGCATTGTTTGTGCCTCCCTTTTCTTCACCCATTGTTTTTTCCTTTTGTCCTTTCTCATTCCTCATGTCTTCCATCCCTCTTTCTTTCCTTTCTTCGTGTTCCTCCTTCCTAACTTATTTACTTCCTTCTTTCATTTCTTAATTCTGTCCTCCCTTCCTTCCTTGCATATGTCCTGCCTCTGTTCCTTTCCTCTTTCCCTCTTCTTTCTTTATTGCCTTTATTATGTCCTACGTGAGCGCCTCATTCCTTTCTTTATCATGTATTGCCTTCCTTTCTTTCCTTGTTTGTTTCTACATTGTGCCCTTTCCTCCCTTGTTAGAAAAATTGGGTGATTCCCAAGAGCTATTTACCTAAAACTGAGCACAAAGTAGATCATCAGCTAAAAGGATGACTCCTCCCTCAGCTCCTTTTCCAGGTCTTTGCTGGGGTTTTTTTCCAAGATATAACACCCGGATAACATTCATCTGCTTTAGATTAGTTACAATTTAGTTTTATATCCATTGCTTCTTTATTTTTCCTGTAGTTGAAATCTGTTTTCCTTCAGTTTTTAAGAACACACTGTGCAAAGATCTGCCAACTTTCAGGCTAATTCCTCTCCCTTTTTATGCCTGTCACTTTTTCATTGATGGAACAAAATAAATTTGTACAAATGATGTCTTTGAAACTGACTTCTAGTCACCAAGTGCCTAAACATACAATCTGAAGTTGCGTCTGTTCCAGGTTGTCTATGTGTGGATTTATGACCAAAATGCACCACATTGAATAACTGCATATTCAGTGGCGGTACAAGACTGCAGGTTTGCGTTTTCGCATAATTAATCCACAAGATGAGAATACATTTCTGTGACTTCTTTCTGAATGATCAGATTAACTACAGACCACCAACAATGAGCAGCCATGTTGAAATGTGTGCTTACTGGGTGCAACTCTACTGATGATTCCTGACACAGTTAAGACCCAGCAAACACAGAAGTTCATTGAGCTCAGTGCGTAAGCCGCCTTAGAGATCCGGAAGCCTTTTAAGTATTTACACAGTCAGATGTTTGCCTCAGAAAATATTTCTGAATTCAGGAGCAGGCCTGCCGGAGTTTATTTGGCTCCCTCACCCCTCAAAGAGTGACAGTGTCAAGCTCCTTCGTCTGAGTAAACCCGAAGAAGCTGAAAGGGACACAACCGTTTCTCTCTTTCACTCTTGACTTGGCAGGTATGCGGGGATGTGTGCTGCCATCACTTTGTGTTCCCTGGCGGTGAAATCAAAGCTTTTTCGGAAAGAATGTGGAATTTGGCCAAGCAGCCGTAGCCAGACACCTGACTTCCAGCACTCACACACACGGCTCTCTGACTTTTAGCTCAAACCGTCGCTGGGAGGTCGGCCATATTGGCAGAAAGCTCTGCGAAGGCTGCCCGACATCTCCTGAAAAAAGTTTATATCACCAAGGACATGTTTTTTTTTTTTTTTCATCATTTAATTTTGTTTTCTCATTTGCATACCCTGTAACCTGCCACTTTATTAGGTACACCTATGTTTTGCATCCGTAAGTGCATTTGTCAGACGTCTTTTGGACACAAACTTGTTATTTTGTCAGTCACCCACATGGAGGACTGAGCTTTAGTGATGTTGCGCATTATTAAGCTGGAAGAAGTCACAAGGAGAGGCTGTGTGAATTTTAGCCTGGATTTCTTTTCAATGCAAGGACTGGGTTAAAGGGACTTAAAAATGTGATTACGGTAAAAGTGATAAGTTGCAAATTTCAGAATTTATCACGACGATAAATCAAAACTCTTATAAGAAAATGTTCACAATAAATGATACGATGAATGGCCTCTCTTAGTGTGAAGTCTCATAAGTGCCTTTTTTTCTGATTATGATGCTCAGGTTGAGCCTTATAGATTGGTGCTTTGTGTTTGTCTAATTCACAGTTTGTGCTAATAAGCAATTGAACAGGTGTGCCTGGTTTCTACTGATGCAACAAATACATAAAATCCCAATTAGGGAACTTTGGAAGCTGGAAAAACCTAGAAAATCACACAGTAATTATTTTTGCTGTATTTTCTCATCTGTCCATTTCTCTCTGCGTCTGATCATCCATTTGACTATCATCTATCATTTTTCCAACCCTCCGTCTGTCAATCCTTCCTTTTGTTCATCTGTTCATTCTGACTGACAAACTGAATCAATCACAAATACATAATTAAATATTTTGCGATTTTTAAAATGGTATTCTACGCTGATGATGCTTTACTGCTAAAAGTTAGTAGACAAATCTTGTGATTTGAGCTTTGAAAATGGATGTGTTTTTTTTTTTTACTTTAAAAAATGTGTGGAACATCTAAATTTCAGTTTTAAGCGACTTAGTTCAGTTAATAATATATAAATGTACATTAATGAGAATTTGTAATAAGACCCCTAACAAAGCTTGCCACTGATACTTGAGCAATTCCAGCCTAACGCTCCGCTGCTTCATTAGGGCTTATCTATAATTACTCTGCATTTTAATCATATCAAACCAAGTTTAAAGCTGCAATGTTGGAGTGAAATTCTCATTTCTGAAGGACTCACTTAGCTCAGAGACGCAAATGTTGTGGCACACAGTTAATGTTGAGCTCTGAATATGAATGTAAACACAGACATTGAAAATAGCCGGAGTTATTTCCACCCTCTTGACAGATTTATTTTATTTCTCTCTGATCTCTAAAATGACACCCCCCCCCCTCAAACCACGCAGTCCAAGGTTGAAGGCTGTGAGAAGTGCAGCAGTCTGTTCAACAAAGAGGGTCGTGTGCGGGCTGCGGTAACCACGGCGCCCGCCGACGGGACGGAGGAGACAGATGAGGAGAAGGAGGGTCTGAAGAACCAGCTGAGGGAGATGGAGCTGGAGCTGGCCCAGACCAAGCTGCAGCTGGTGGAGGCCGAGTGTAAAATCCAGGTACGGCAGCACACACAACGTGGGCCCCAACTATAACTGGCTGTACACATGTGGTCACAGAGCAATAAAAAAAAAAAAAAAACGACTTACCGGGGGTATTTGTGCTATTTTCTTACACCGTCTCCAAACAAGTTTGGTTGCCCCAGCTCAAATTAAATCTCCAGGTCTGAATCCCACCAGCACGACTCCTCTAATTGCCACTGAAGCCAGTATTTAAACAGATGTGTCACAGTTTGGACGGCAGTCGTCTTTCCTGGCAGCAAGACGCGTTTTGACAGCTTTTAATAAGACGTTCAGGATGATTCTATTAAGAAGTTACAGCTGGCTTTGACATGTGGATGGTGCTTAATTACCTCTTACATCAGGGTTGTTACTGCATATTCATTTCCTTATATCTGAGCTACCTGCCTTTATCTGCCTCTGTGTGTCAACCGCGTAGCAATCAATTAAAAGGCCATGATCCCGTTCTGTGTGCCTTTATCAGCCCGGCGCATGAGAAGGTTGTTAAATCAAGGAGGAGAGCTTTCTATTAAACAGATATGATTAAAGGAAGAAGAAAATGTGGATCTGATTTAAGGAAATGAAGACAATAATGTGATCGCCAGCATCTGAAGGAGCTTTAGAGGCTGAAAAATGGTTATAGCGTGAAGTTTTATACATGAATCGGCGCCAAATGATTATTTTGACCCTTCTTGATTTTAGGGCACAATCAGTTTAACTTTTAGTCGATCTGTTTGAAACTTTGGGTTTTAAAAGATGTTAGGTCTCAGGAAGAAGACAAGCAGCTCATCACTGCAAAGGGAAGGTTTTTCAGTGTTTGTTGGGATCTTATGTGGAAGATCGACAGAAAGTAGTACAAAACCATAAGGAGGAATGAAAATGATAAATGGTTTTCTTTTTTCTTTTTTTTCTTTTTACAAGTAAAAATCTTTAATTTGTGGCTGGAGGTTGTATTGTCTGAACAGTGTATCATCATATAAGCTTTTCATATCAGTCAATATTTATAATTATTGATTTTTTATTTTTTTTTAATATCTGCGGAACTAGTGCCGTGACCTTTCCTATTTTATCCACTGTTTTCACTCGTCGTTTATTTTTAAGCAGCTACGAGGCACGGTGGCAAAACCTTTAACTGCTAACGCACAAGTTACTCAACTGACTAGGTAACCACAAGTTATCACCCCCCGAAAAAAAATTGTTGCTAGGTAACCAAAGAGTGAGACAGCTTGAGCAGCTAAAATCTTTACTCTGCCTACATCCCCCAGAATGCTGTGGGAGGATTCTGGGGGAATCCTGGAAATCTTTTCTCAGTCAGAAAAGATTACAAACTCTTAACTGAAAAAAATGTAGCATGTCTGCGTTGCATAAATAGAGATGACAGCCTCACTATTTAGCCATCTGTGATTTTTATGTCATAGCAGGTTAGATCCAAATACTTTACACCCCACTTATCATTTCAAGGCAAATGCAAACCCAGGACTCTCACATCTGGTCTCTATAACTGCAATAATTTTTTTTATATGGTTTACAAAAAAAATCTCCTATAAACTTCAATCTGTCCATAATTCTGCTGCCAACATCCATTGTTGAAGCTTCCAAGCCAAGCTTAAAAAAAAAATGCCGTTTTAATGTAAACGCCAAGCTTCTACTGTCAATATTAAGGAATTATTTACTCAAAACAAGTTCCTGTTTCTTGCTGAAAAGTTACTTGTTAGTTTTGTCTTATTTCAAGGGTACCAAGATGTTTCCTGGACCAAAAGTACTTTGTTAGAGTTTGTGTTTTCACTGTGCCGTTTTGGCAAAGAAGCACTTTGTAGCGTCATGTATCCTCTTCCTTTCCGAACAGGACCTGGAGCACCATCTGGGTCTGGCTCTCAACGAGGTTCAGGCGGCCAAAAAGACCTGGTTCAACCGAACGCTCAGCTCCATCAAGACGGTCACCGGCACCCAGGGCAAAGAGACCACTTAACCCAACAACCCGCCATCCGTCCCGTTTTAACAAGACCGCGTCTGAAGCTCGGTGCGACTCGTCCCGCTACCTTCAGACCCCCCCCTCCAGTCCCCAAGAATGTAACGCACACGGCCACATAACGTTAACATTAACCGTTAAAAAAAGCAGAGGATCTCCTCCGTGACTGACTGTGTTACTTGTTTCCTCATATCAAAGATGTTCTTTTTATTTCCTGAAGTAACTCTCCCAATCGAAACCTTTTAACATCCATGCGAGCAGTGCAGCGATAACCACCTCCCCCCCCCCCCCCAGACAGAGACCACGCGCTTCCACCAGTCACAGGAGGAGAGATGCTTCATTGAGGATTGTCTGCGTACTGCTGAAATGGAAAAACTCCACAGTGGGGGAAGCAATGACATCAGGACTGTATCTTATCTCCCTTTCTTCTAAACTACTGGCACAAAAACATCAAGTCCCTGGATATTTTCTTTTTTTCTTTTTTTTTGTTTTGTTTTGGTTTGTTTTAGGTACGAGCGCTTATAGACGCCCTTCCAGGACTGAGCTTTTGTTCTAATTTTCATCGAACAGTTCTTTCTGTTGGCGTATGTGCTAATGTGGCGTCTGACTGTAATGTGTATTTGTTTATGACTGTGAGACTAGGGAGAAAAAAAAGGTTTGAAAGCATGAATAATTAGCGTGTCTGTGTGTGAGAACTGTTTGAGTGTTTGTGGAAGGACAGCGGAAAGAAAAGCACTAAAGTTATGAGTGTGTGCATGCATGTCAGGTTGTCTTGTGTCCTTTCATGTTCAAATGTGTACAGAAAAACTGGTGAAGAGAAGTTTGCTGACAAGGCCTTGATCTGAAGGTTGATAACAGAGGTGGGTATAAATATGTAATTTATGGAAACTAAAAGGAGTTGTGAGAAGCGACTGCAGCTTGAATCTCCTCGAATTAAAATACACACTTATGGTTTGTTTTGGTTTGGAGAAACCTTGGGGGGGAAAAAAAAGCTCAAAATCAAACAAACAATTTTATTACTCAAATGGTTTACTGAATTTGAGTAATTAAAATTCCAATAGTCAGAGTGGACAAATTTATAATTCCTATGGCCTTTGAACTCACCATCAATCCCATTTCGATCTGTCCAACATGGAATCATCAGACGTTTTTGTGTCGGCTGCGATGGTCCTGTTAAATGCTTTACATAGAAGTTAACAGAATGTTACATTTGCTGATTGTTGACATTCATTTTTAACAGATTTTGGGTTGTTAATGATGCATTAGAACCAAGTTTTTTTTTTTTTTTTTTTGGGGACTAATAACTTCAAAACAAGAAGTGGGTGCACAGTTTTGCAATAAATGTTTAACTCATCCACACACACAGGATCAAAATTATACATGCATGCTTAAATACGTACATATAAACACCCCCAATAATAGCTTTAATGTCCCAACACGTTTTTATATCGACCAATAAAATCTTTGGTGTAATTCTGAGCATTTTGCAGCTCTTCTTGGCAAAGCTGATCTAGTTCTTTAACTTGGTGGGTTTTTCACCTACAATTTTGGGAAATAGTCCTACTTCTTCCAGTTCACAAGTTGTAGAAGAGATTTAGCATTAATGCTGCCACTACCACGTTTGACATTTAATGGAGAGTTCTTACGTTTAAGAGAAAAATCTTCCCGTATCTTTGTCTTGCCTCAAAGAACCTTTTTTTTTTTTTTTCCCCCTCAGCTTTACTGAGCCAAGAAGATCGGTCAAACAATCCAGAATTATGCTGAAAGGTGGTCGTCTCTCTATAACATAAGGGATATTCGGAAAATTAAATTCAAACTTCTGCACCCAATTCTTAACGTTACAAGTTTTGTTTGTAGTATAATCATTCCACTCTGGAAAACAAAACAAAAAAATAAAACATGTTCAGATAGATTCTTAAGGGCCTTAACTAGTAGAAAAGCCTTGCCAATCCATGTCGGTAAACTTCTGACCGGCTCCATAAATGCCTGTAATTCAGAGTTAAGATATAAACCTACCAGTCGACCCAATTGTCTTGTTGCAGATGTCTCAGATCTGTAAGAGCTGCTGGGTATGGATAGAGAAAGCATCCAAAACTAGCAAAGCAGCAGCAATACCGATCGAATAAAACGCAGGCAAGTAATTTGGCACCTTTAACAGCTGAGAACTTTTTTTTTTTTTTCTGGTTCAAGCGTCGTATCACGATGAGCCTACAAACAGTTGCAACCTATATTTTCTATATTTCAACAGGAAGAATATTAAAAGGAATCATTTTTATTAGCTTCAGTGGAGCAAAATTCTTCAAAGACATTCTCAAATAAATTTGAGTCTCACAGCGAATGTTACAAGTTGCTAAAAAATATTTAAGCTCTCAAGATGTTATTCTGAAACACAGACTGCTGTGAATGTGAGACACCTGTCAGCATGCGGAGGTGTAGCCGCAGCGCGAGGGGGAATCGCACCGCCAGGTGCAGGGCAGCAGAGCCGTGTCAGGAGAGGCCAGAGTTCAGGTCAAAACACTCTATATTTGTCCACGGGGCAAAAAGGGGCCAGAGGAAGCCTCTGTGTGTGAGATTTAATACTTCGCTGACTTTGGAGCGGAGGCTCAATGATAATCCGGTTTCAAATCCTGCTGAGACTGAACGTTTTTTCTTAGCCTGACTGGAACGAACCATTTCTGTAACCTGCATCTTGACTTGAAAAGTGAAGTCCGATCAGCTGGAATCCGGTTGTGATATTAGAAGAAGATGTAGGGGAGCGTCCACCTTAAGGCACTGGGCTGTAAATAAACATTAAAAGCATCACTATTGAATTTTTTTTGTTCATGGTTTTTCTAATCTAACTATAACTAATGTTGCCTACCTGTACTCACCTACCTGCTGCTGTGATACAGTTGAATCTACAAAGTTTTTATTGTATTTCTGTATGTTTTTTGTTCTTTTTTTGTATATTTTTTCCCCTTTTTTGCTACAAGCTTCTCAGTCGCACTGCTGTTTGGATAACTAAATGCCAAAACATAGCTCCGTCAACCAACATTATCAACGTGTGGAAATTGTAATAGAGTAGACTGCATTGTGTATACTCCATGAATTTAAATATAAAGATATGAACACAAGGAAACCTGACTCATTCTTTATACATACATATATATATATATATATATATATATATATATATATATATATATATATTTTTTTTTTTTTTTTTTTTTTTTTTTTTTTTTAAGGGGGCTCTTTTTTTAATTTTTAAAAAACATAATATTTTTTTTTACATGGGGTGTTTTTAAACA